GGACATGAGAGAGATGAAGCTCAATTGGAACGAGCTTGGAAGGATGGCCCAGGACAGAGATAAATGGAGGGGGCTTGTATGTGGCCTATACCCTGCCAGGGGAAAAAGGCATTAATGATGATGATGACACGTAATTTCTGTCCTCATCTTTTTAGTTTTCGGAAGAGTTTTAAGGCACTTGCAACACAATAGGGGCCATTTAAGTGCCGCCCCGTTCTTTGACATACCATGGGAACCATTACACAAACTCCCTTCGGAATTTGAACCCAAGTAAGAACCCAGGCGGAAACATCCAGATAACTTCGTTGAGACACATATCCAAGTACTTCAGGGACTGTATATCGTCGTAATCCGGGAACTTTCCGCTCAGAACTTCTTCCACTTCCGCCTGTGCCTTGTGGAGACACTCTGGGTTCATGGCCAGGAGGAACAAGGTGAAGGTCATGGCGCTAGACACCGTCTCGTAACCGGCCAGGGTGAAGATGATGGCTTGTCCTTGGGGAAGTTTAGTTGTAGCAAATTGTTAGGGGAAATGAAAAAGCCGACAGACTGGCTGGTGAGGTCACCTCAGTTGACAACATGGTTCAACCAGATAGGGTCGAGATTCTGAAATGTCTCTCTCGCCAGCTGATTAAGGAGGAAGATAGGGAGGCAGAGGTCAGTACTGCCGTGGAGAGGATGATGCTTTTGGGAATACAAAAAGGAAACGGAAAATCTGGCATCCTTGCAGGAAAGAACAGAAGAACGTTCAACCAGATATGCAGTGGCACAATCAGTGGGAAGACCCTCGGCGACATTTTGGAGAGAGTAACGGAGCATCAATGGACATGTCCGGAGTGCAGGGATGTTGCTTCCTGAAACAATGAACAATGAAGTTATTGCAAAAATTTTTACGGCGCTTGCAGCAGAGATAAGTCATGTTACGAGAAAGGAACATTCAAAGAAAGTAAGAGTTTCACGGCACTTGCAACACAGTAAGGTCATATAGGTGCCGAAGGTTAGAGGTGTTACAAGAGAGTAACAAACACAAAAAAGAAGGAGGAGAGATAAGGACGACAACAGTAGATGTTTGATAGGAAAGAAGGGGCAAACCACACAAGAGCACACACTTACCAACAACACATTATAATACTACACAACTATGTGTTATATATTAGCATATAAGGAGTACAGCCTGGCGAAGACACGAGGAGCACCAAATCAATGTGCCAGGATCTGGACAATAAAGAGGTACATATCTTATCTTATCTAATCTTATCTTATCTACCTGCAAGTCAGTTAGGCTGAGCCCTGGCTTGCTCCTGCTGCGACTATTGAGCGCTGTTGCCTCTTCCTCTGTCCTGTTGTCGTTTTCCTGTCCCGGCTTGTCTTCTTCCGCCTCCATCATCAGCTGGAGAAAGTCGTGCCTCTTCGAACCCGCCCCAGAGCCCTCGTGCTTTTTCTCCTGAATTACCACGTCGACGAAGTGAGAGAAAAAGTCCAGAGACATCCGAGGCATGCTCGCTATTCCGAGAAACTTCAGGACAGGCTTGAGGAAATCTAAGAACGTCGTTATCAAAAGCAATAACCCCACGCTGTCCATGATTCTCTTGCTTTCTGTAAAGAACCGGTTATTCGGGTCCTCGAGAGAGTTGGTGTGCACGCCGAAGCCCGTGCTGGCGATGACATCCATGGTGAAGAGAGACAGGACCTCCTTCAGCTCCACCGGCTCGTTTCTCTCCTGTTTCTTCTTCAAGTGATGCAACAGACGTCTGGTGTTGCTCTCGATGTGTCCGTACATCCGCTTTAGCCGGACCGTGTTGAACGTTGGGCTGATGGTGGTGCGGATGTTTTTCGAGTCTTCATCTGTGGAGGGGAACAGTAGGCTGAGCCGGTTCTAGATATGAGCGTAGCTACAAAAGTCATTGCGAGAGAGAAAATTAGCGGGCACGCAGGCAGATAGACGGTTAGGCTACCGGACTCGTGATCGCTAGATTGTAGATTGCGGGGTCGGGGGTTCGAGCCGCGGGCCTGACGTTGTGTCCTTGGGAAAGGTGGATATGGGTACCTGGACATAGACAGCGAAAGATCTTGTCAGTATATCAGTGTTTTAGCGCCTATAAATGGCTGCTTGCTCTGTATGCTTCCCAGGAAGTTGAGGTTGTTTCAGAAAACTCTCAGGTCTGCTGGGGTAATAGTATTGATTGTGAAGCGCATAGAGCTTACTGTTGAGCGGGGATTTGTGCTATACAAATTCTATCTATTATTATTAAGAACATGTTAATTTCCCACCTTTGGGAATGGCCTGAAGACACTTCAGTCAGTGGCACTGCACTTTGGGGGTGGGGGTGGGGGGTCCTTCCGCGTGCTCTTACAAACTCACTCAACAAATGAAAAGAATGTTCTCTTTTCGAAACACTGAGTGTGGGGATTTCGAGCTAAACATTTACTGTATCTGATAGGACATAAAAATGTTGTTATGGAAACATTAAAACTTGCAAAACAAACATGAGAACTGATG